CTTCCGCTACATCAGTGTTACTCATCCAGATACTGATACTTCTTATGTTATTGGTGTAGTTAGTTAACATACGCATACTCCTCGTCAGCCTCACTTTGGGGTTATTTGTCGTATTCTACATTATCTGAAGGGTTCTTCCTGGGAATGGTCTTATATGAGCCTTCTTCTTCTTTATTTGTAATCGTTTTGCAGATGCTGAATGGGTTGGCAATCATTCTAATAGGCAATTTACATCTGGTTATTACATGTTTGTTTATTGTAATCTTGTTACTTCACGCGGTAAAAAGCAAACAGTAGTTGCTCGTCCTAATGCAAAGGCTGAGTACCATGCTATGGCTCACACCGCCTCCGAGATGTGGTGCGCTCTCTTCTTCAAGAGATGGGTATTGACGTTCCTACTCTTATGTCAATTCATTGTTACTTCACGCGGTAATTCATTGTTAATAGGCAATCTACTTCTAGTTATTGCATGTTTCTTTGTTGTAATCTTGTTACTTCACGCGGTAAAAAGCAAACAGTAGTTGCTCGTCCTAGTGCAAAGGCTGAGTATCATGCTATGGCTCACACCGCCTCCGAGATGTGGTGCGTTCTCTTCTTCAAGAGATGGGTATTGACGTTCCTACTTTTATGTCAATTCATTGTGATAACCAAGCTACTATCTTTATTGCTAGCATCCTGTTTTTCACTAGCGTACCAAGCATATAGACGTGGATTGTCATTTTATTCGAGATTTGCTAATGCAGAAACAAATTGTTATTCCATATATTTGCTCTGATGTGATGTTAGGTGATATTCTTATGAAGTCATTGGCTCCTTGTGCATTTCAACGGTTGTGCTTCAAGTTGGGCATTTTTAATCTTTATGCTCCAAGCTAAGTGATATTATACTTTTGTTGATCTTAATATATAAGATTGATGAAGGTTGTAGTTGTTTTTACTGGCACCTCTTATTTTCTCTCAGACTTCTCTGCCTTCTTCTCTTTCCTTCTCTTCTTTTCTTCCTCTAATTTAACCCTACAACACACACATACAAATTTTAACTAATACTTTACATATATATGGTGAATAATATGTATTGATCATTCATGAGTTGGTTGTTCATATGCAGGCCAAAATGAATCAGGGGTGTTCTAATTCGATAAAAGACGAACTCTCTATTTGAGAAGAATTAGAACAAATCAACGATGAGCATAATGACTCTCAAGTATGAGAAAGCCATGAACTCTTGCTTGGTTAGATGATTTCTTTATTTTATTCGGTGGACTCTAAGGTGTAAAACCCGGATATCATTGACTTTAAAGCATACATCTACACCTTTTGTATTTAATTTTACGATGATTAGTTTAATCACAGTCTAAGAACATAGTATTGTTATTATGTGATTAAACAGAAATAATCAAGGAGTAAAATTAAAGTATTAATTATGCATTTGAAATTATGGCAATTTATTTAATTATTTGATAATTATGCGTGGAAGGGTTGTTGTGTAAATTAAGAATGCGTTTAATCATTCTCTAATCGAAGTGTAATAATAATTATATGGTGGTTTTAATTTTGATTAAAGGGTTGATGCAATTTCCATTGTAGCCAAGGAGAAATTGGGCCCAATTTGTAATCCTCACTTCTAGCCCATTAGAGTGTTAAGCCCAAGGGTGTGGAGATAGTGTATGGGTTGCAGGAGTTGCTTGTTAGCACTCCAAAAAGGTGAATGAAAAGTGTTATGTACACTCATAGATATTTCTATATAAGTTATTATAAACCCAATTAGGGTAAGAAAATCATCATCTCAAGAAAGCCTCTCTTTATATATACGGAGTATATAGAATTATATTCACATATATATACTACTTGTCCTTACACATTTGGTTCCCCCAAATTAAAGGGCTTGGAGAATTCTAATGGGATCATAGAAGTGAAGAGCATTTGGATGGAGAATCAAGGTTGAAGAAAGAGCAAGGAAAGGAAGAGATCAAAGTATTCTAAGCCTCTAATCTTATGTATGATCTCTACATCATGCATTCAAGTGTGGTTCTTTCATCATGCATTCAAGTGTGGTTCTTTTATCATGCATTCAAGTGTGGTTCTTTTAGATTAGCTTTCTTTAGTGGTTCTATTTCTATGATAAATAATCATTTTGGAATATAATTCTAAGCACTAAACCCCTAGAATCTTACTTCTAGATTACATCTCATGAATTACTTTTGGGTTATTCTTATTAATTTAATATTCTTGTCGATTAATTGTCTTTAGAGCTTTTTTCTAGATGTTTACCTACTTATGATTAGTCTTAACTTAAGTTGGTAATTAGTACTTTTAGAATTAGTATGGATGTTTAACTACTTGTAGTTAAGCTCTAAACTAATGTTGTTTTGTGATTAGCCTGTTTGGGTTAAACATTTTGCAGCTAATTATGCTTTGCTTTGCTAGTTACCTATTGGTTAATTATTTCCTATTTACTATCTTAGCATTGTGTTTTTGACGTATTGCCGGATATTTCCTATCTCACCTATCTCTTTAATATTTTGTCATATTATGTTGTGTTACCTCACTTTCTTAAATTCATCCTATGTTTTTGCTCTGTTCGTTAATTGGTTATATCCTATTGGAATCACATCACTTCTCCTATACCTTTATGGACTTCATTGCTAATTTTGATGATGCCAAAGGGGAAGAAAATATGCATTCGGCATATGTATTGATGAATATATATATGCTTGATGTTTGGTAATTGTATGTACTAATATTGATGTGTATATACTTGATGTGCTTATGATGTTTGATATGTGATGAATGCATATGCTTTAATAGAACAACTATGTGGCCTTTTTGTGATTACTGATTTGTACGATTGTGGAATTATTTATCTGTTGTGATCAATTGTGATAATCTGCATTATTATAAATTGTCATTGCATATAAAGATCATTGCTACATGCTTGTTGTATTCATGACATGACAAATTAACATAGTTCACATCACTTGTAGTTACTAAGAACTGTCAATCCACACTAGTGAGCACATTGGTTAATCTGCATACTAGTATGTTAGGAGTAGAAGCAGTATTGTGCACTTCATGTAGCTAGGCAGTGAAGTAGTATTATGCACCTCATATAACATAGGTATAGAAGCAGTAATTTGCACAACATGCCTTACATGATTAGTGGTGGCATAATTCATGTTTATCTTTGGTTCCAAAGTAGTAATAATTATCTTAGGAAGCTATTTGTCGTAATAGCCATTGGTATTAGACTTATTAGAATGCCATAATCATTAGGGGGAGTTAGCCTTAAATTTTCATTTTCACAATTTATGCATATTCTGAACTTTATAGGGGAAGAAATCTCCAATTTATGTGATTGATAATATGCATATTGATAGGGGGGCTTTTCATATTGATTATCTTATATCGTTTATCTTGTGAAATAAATTAATAGATTGTCATCATGATTGATAATATGCATATTGATAGGGGGGCTTTTCATATTGATTATCTTATATCGCTTATCTTGTGAAATAAATTAATAGATTTTCATCATCAAAAAGGGGAGATAACAATCTATTAATATGGGAATTTCTACTCAAAATGTGGTGATTTTCAGGATATTCTTGAAACTCAAGTACAAAGTAGATCTATGAAATTAAATGTTCAAGCTCAAATATGTATCAAGCTCATGGCAATGGAACTTGAAGTTAAAGATCTAATCTAAGAGCAAAGGCCTTGGACTTCAAAGGGACTTGAATGAAGATTCAAATTCAAGAAGCCACGTGATCATGGAACTTAAAGTTCAAGAGTTGAAGTAAAAGCTCAAGATTGAAGATCAAGATTTGGGTAGATTAGTATTGGGTGAGTGTTATCATTTAATGCAAAGTTAGTTTTAAAATTGCTTCATTTGAAAGCTCAACCCTTTACTTAATTGACTCTAGGAACCAATGTACCTCATGCATATTATTTTAATGATTACTAGACTTTTAGCAATAGGCCTTGGACTTAATTAAATTGTACAAGGTTCTAGTTGCTAGTGGAATGGCTTGGGCTCATTACAAGACCAAATGGACTCGTATCTCACAAATGAGCAAAAATTAGCCCACATAAATTTAGGACCTGAAAGCACTTAGACAGCCATAACTATCAGTGTGGTTGTATTTTTTGAGTGAGACCAATTCCACTGAAAAGTAGACTTCAAGAACTTCAACTTTTCATGATTTTGAGAAGTACTATTTTTTAGGGTCATAGTATAAAAACAAGTTGTTGTGTTGTATAAAGTAGAAAAATATTTTCATGGTTTTGAAAGAATTTTTTTAGAAGTCCACTTTACCTAAACATTGAGAATTTGGCTCAATTATAGTAAAATAGGAAAGCTAAAGTCCATTTATTTATAAATTTTCCATGTTTTATGTCAATTCTTGTGGCCAAGGTTAATTCAACCCCACTGTCCCACACCCCATTGTCCCACACCCCATCTCCCTCTCTAGGTTTAGACCACAGATCTTCTGCTATTAGAGCCTAGGGTTTCTGGTCCTTATTTTGAAGCTACATCCGACTGCAAGTAGACATAGATGAGGACTTTGAGCACATTTCTATTCAGAACTACATAGTCACCAGACAACCACGGCACTGGTCGAGTCAACTATATATCTCCAAAATCATTATGCAAAGTGCTTTCATAGTTTTTTTATGTTATTGCAGAATTTGAACTTCTGTTCTATGGCATAAGGGCTATAGGGGCAAAAGATTAATAATTGAAGCATGACCATATTAAACAAAAACATATGTAGACAAAAACCATACAGTTAAATTGAATACTAGAACATCTATAGCAAGCCAGATTGGATACTAACCACATAAAAATAGAACCAAAAAAATCAAAGACGAAAAAAAAGAAGGGGGATTGTAAAATTTGCAGGAACAATAGGTTAAAAGCTATCTTATTCAAAAATATCAAGAAATCCCAATATATTTATATACACACACAAATATATACACAAGCCATGAAAATCTTACATTGGTGTAAAGTGAGTATAAAGTGCCCCCATCTAGTCCTTCTGGTGATGCTTCCTTCACTATAACACAAGTACACTTCCCTATGTCCAATGGCAAAGGCCTACACAACAAAGACCTGAAAAACAGCCACAAACACAAATCTAAAACATAAAATTTGATATCTTTTTACGAAAGATAGATACAAATTGATCAAAACTTCAAAACTTCAAAAGGGTTGTCCTAAACCAACCTGTTAGGCAGGGTAGACCAAGATGAAGCCGGAGCGGCCTCTGAATCCGAATGGTCCCAAATGTTGGTAGAATTTGTGTTCTCCGAGTCAATGGGGTCCCAAATTTTCGACCCACAAGTCGAATCGCCCTCATTCAATTGCATACAAAGCTGAAGTGAAGAGGGCTTCAAAGCTCTATCCCTTAAGTAAGGCTTCCCATTTGGGAACTGTTTGGCCACAGCACCAGACCCATTAATGGGTACTGTATTTTCTTTGTTGTCATGGACCCATTTTCCGGTCCTCTTTGTCGTATCATTTTCCTTATCGCCGGAGTCACCAACCCAAATCCGGTCCAAATGGACGCCGAGCGTGACACGTCCGGTGCCACTGGGGTCTCCTTCGCTGCAACTCCGGTTGTGTTTGATCTCATTGAGGGGATTGACGTAGAGAGAACTGTACGAAGTCTGGCGTGGAATTGAGGATTTCTTGAAACCAGACATGACAAAAATGTCTAGACAGAGAGAGCAGTGATGGGGTTATACAGTCAAAGAGGGAAAGTATAATGTTAAATCAAGTGATCTTTCATGCTAGAGGATTTGGATTTGATTTGGGGTGTTTTGGGAGAGATTTTGGATGATACATAAGAGTATTCAAAATATGTGTGGTGGGGGTTTGCGTTGTTTTGTGTTGTGTTTGGGGGCTTTTGTAGTGGGTGGTCTGAAGACGCTGTTGGGGTTACCAAAATGAGTTTGAATTTGAAATTTTTTTTTGGGAAAATGTGTTGGTTTTTATGTGTAGCTTATAGGAGCTAACGGTAACAAATGGGGACTTATGGGGACTTGTGTGAAAGTGTGTTGCGTAATTGGGAGGTTGAATGGTACTTTGACTTTAAAGTTGAGTATGTTACGGTGAGGATGAGTTCATTGTATTGTCATGAACTCTTCTATATGTCATTTTTGGCTCATTATTATGTAAAGATGTTTGAGTAATTTATTTAATTAATGAATTGTGATAATTTATTAAGATTTGTGAAAAGTCAAATGAGTCAGTTAATTCATTAGTTTAGTAAGAAAATTTTATTATGAGAGGCTCTCATGATAATATTACTCTAAATATTATCATAGGCATTTAACGATTAGAAAGAAAACCGTAATGAAATTTATATTAGTAAAATTTTATATCATAATTCATTTAAAATAGATTACACCAATTAATCAAAGTTTTAGAATATGTTTGGTTGGGTTTTTTTTTTTCTAAAACAAAAAAAAGACAATTTTTTTATTTTTAAATAATTATAAAAGCTAAATTTTTAGCTTTTTTAACAAAGTTGTTAAAAATTATCAACCAAATAAATTTTTGTATAGTGTTCTTATGTTTAATTATCAAAAAATTGAACCAACCATCTTCTTATTATTAATTTTTTTTACTGCATTTGACTAAATTAAATTATTATCTTTTAATGTCCGGAATAATTTTATTTTAAAGTAGTTTGAACTTATTTTCTTAGAGTAAAATTATTTTGATATATATTCTGCGATGATGTAACTTCCACACAATACTTTATGCACATACAGTAATATATTAATTCAAAGCAGAGTTCATGGCAACTATCATAAGGTTTACCACACAATAGATTTACTCCTAAGGAGTTGGATTGACAAAATGAGCGGGTAGCAAGTTTGAATGGTGAGCAGTAAAGGCTGACATTATATAAAACAGGGTACAAGTGTTCTGACTCCATATTTATAGTTCCCCCACTATCTCAAACAAACTCAAGTGCCCAAAAAAAATAAATAAATCACTCAAGTGCCAAAGCAAAGCGTGATAGACGTCAAATTTTAATGAACTGAGCAATTGAATCCTATATTTATTACTTATATTATTGCATACCAGACCATCTGGGTGATATTGTGTTAATTACCGCTCATTGCACAAACACATGTGCCTGCCCTTTGAAAATTTGTTAGGATGTGATAAATGCGGTCGATGTACATTTTTTGGGGTCGCGAGTTTTTAACATTTTTATAATATGCATATAATTTATATAACTCTCTATAAATTTTGAAAACCTCTTAATATTTGTTTAGGGGGAACAAAGACCTCCTCTCATTCGATTGTTAATGTAACATAAAAATAATAAAATGCCCTTCCTACAATTAAAATAAAAATTAGTAAAAAATTCACTTAATGTAAAATGATTATTATGGTCTTTATTCAACAAAATTAGTTAACGAAGGACATTTTCAGTATTTAAATAGTAAACAAAATTCAATTAATGTAAAAATTTAATTAAAAAATAGTAAAAAATTCAATCAAAAGAGCATTTACGGTATTTAATACAATTAATTAGTAATGTGCGAGACACATGGTTTGTTAACAGTTGACTGCTGGAAAACTCTAGTTTCCAACATTTTTAAATTTCTAAGGAAGCTATATGTCCAAAGTAAAAGAAAATGGTGTTATTTGCTCAAAAAGCTAGTAAACCATAGGGATGCTTTATATAGTTAGCCCCCATCTTTTTATAATGAGTTATGATATTCGGACCGACTATTACGTCTATTTGTTAACATCAAACAATTAATCACCTGAAACGGGACTCGTTTTAGACTCTACTTGTTGTTTTGTTATTTCACTTAAAAAAATAGGCCTTAATATCATTTTTCTTTTGTAATTGCACTCTACTTGAATAGTGGTCCTCAACAATTACAAAATTAAATATTAGGGTCATTTATGTCATTTTGCTTGAATATTTTAAAATGCTTGGGAAATTTCTCAAATATTAGAGTCATTTATGTCATTTAATTAATAATTAGAGCATGATTGATCGACTTTTCTAAAAATGGTTTGGTTTTCTACTTTTTAGAAAATAAAAGGAAATTATAAATTTGTTTGTTTGATAAGTTTCTGTTATATAATATAAAAAGAGAGTATTAATAATTTCAAGCATTTTTGGTTCAATTATGTCAATTTTTTCTATTTTTTAAGTTTTATTTTTCCAAAAGTACTATTTTTTAAAGTTTTAAAAAAATCATATAATAGAACCAAACACATCCTTAGACATTCCTCAATGTAACGACTCACTCCACCATATGTTATGATATTGTCCTCTTTGGACCTGAGCCTGCACGGTTTTGCTCTTGAATTTTACCCCAAAAGGCATCGTACCAATTGAAGATAACACCACCACATATAAGCACTTCACATTTCCCTAACCCAGGCAATGTGAGATTGTGCACTCGTAACTCGCCCAATGCGGTAGCTTACCAGTGTCTCGAACCCACCCACAGCACACCCCCTACAGGGTCATCACACTCACCTGGAAGGAAAATTATACTTTTGACAAATTAGTTGTAGCAAACAGGGTTCAAAGTAAAAATATACATGATTTTTCAATTTGTTTTTTTAACCAAAGATTTTTTAATTAATGTAGGTTAACTAAATGGATTGCACCGATGTCTGCATTAAAATTATCAAAATATTATTTTAGCTTTAGAAAAACAATCTATAACAATGTCTATTATAGCTTAAGGAGTGCAAAGGATGTTAAAGTCTAGCCCATTGCCAGCCAAGAAGTTATTAGAGTAAATTACACTCAGATCCACTGAAGTTAGGTCATATTTCAAGTAGATAAAGATTTTAGTTTTAAATTTCACTTACATTTAAATTAGTGGTTTACCAGTTCAATTAGGGGTGCACACGGTCCGGTTTGGACTGGTTTAAGAGTTTTTTTGGAACTAAACCAATTCTAATGGATTAATAAAATTTGAAACCGAACCGAACCATTTGACCAAAGGAACCAAACCAAACCAAATCGGGAAAAAACGGTTTGGTTCAGTTCCACGGTTCTCTTTTTTTTTTTTTTTTTTTCCATTCTTGTTACAGAAGTATTCATATTTCAATAATTACATGCACAACAATAAACCAAGTTACCAACACATTGAGAACTATTAATATATTCAGAACTTTTAATTCATTCTATTATATCACTTCTGGAACTGAAGTGAATAAATTCATAATTGCTAATAACGTAATAAACTTAGAATTACTAATTCAACAACAAACAATTAGCCACAATTCAAAATTCAGCCATTATAAAAAATTAAAAATTAAAAATTAAAAATTAAAAAAAAATTATCTAATAAATTGATAATGTAACAACCCAAATCCACTGGATTTGGATCATTAAATGGGTCCTTACCTGACCCAAAATTGTCCAAGAGTAATATGGTCCTTTCACGTTAAATTTGTATATTAAAGTCCAATAAGGACAAGATGGTCATTTATCACAATTCTAATAGTCTGAGACTTAAAGGGCAAAATAGTTATTTACTTGTATCACATAATAAATAAGATAAAGTCCAGGGCAATATAGTCATTCCCATGACTAAAATATAATTATTGTATTTTACTGGACCTTATAATGTGTAACAATACACCTGAGTGAGTGGTCAAGGGCAAAATAGAAAAATAAGTCACAAATGTTTACTACACAGGAACCGGTCGATGTATGAGGAATCACGCGTCAACTGGTTTGGGACGTGTATAGTGGAAAAGCCCACTGCCAGGATACTAGTCGACGTATGGAAGTCGACTGGTTCAAGACTTGTACAGTGAATATGCTCACTGCCAAGATACCGGTCGACGTGTGGGAAATTCACGTCGACTAGTTCAGGTCATCCAGTCGACGTATGGGACTTTACGTCAACTGGTTGGGTTATCCTTACCCAAAGTGCCACTGTCTGAAGGAAACAGAGGTACACCAACTTTGATACCCAATCATCCACACCACTACACTTACGTACATGTTTACATACATTTCAACACCTAATACAATAATAACAACACATTGTTAACATAATTTACCACACGTTACTTAAAATCCACTAAAGGATTTAGTGTGATTAAAACTTAATTACATTTCCCCAATGGCCATACACCAAAATGAATCTAAATATATGTCATGTTGCAAAATAATACATTTTGAGTCAACATTATACAAAATTAAGCCCGAATACAAAAAAAAAAATAGCAATAAGAGACATTTTCCTACTCCAAGCTAAAGCCAGGGTGGATTGTCATCCGCTACTTCTTTTCCGTATCCTGAAAAATGTTAAATAATAAAGGGGTGAGCATAAGCTCAGTAGGAAGTGTCTAAGACACACTTCTTATGACCCCGTGAATCCACGTATAGAATAGGAAATAAGATAACGAGATCATATTATACCGGGAATGTATACCATAACCACAACATCCGATATAAACACATATAGCACCCAAGTCACAATTATGTCATGTATGCCAATGAAGTGCAATGCCATGCTTATGTCGCTCCCCATTTTTTTCCCGAAACATTTCCGTTTGAACTTCTAAACCGTTAGTGTAATCCGACCCAAGGCACCTCCAAGGCGTCACGAATGGAGGGTTGACTAACTATCCACGACCACAAGGCACCTCCAAGGCGTTGCATTCGGCCTAGTTAGCTCAACCTTACTCCCTTCTAGACTACATTAACAACACGGACCATTAGGCGCCTCCTAGGCGTCCGGTTTTCACAACACTTTTCAAAAACAATTTTCCCAAAATCCTTTCTCTTGCTTTTAAAACATTTTTCCTTTTTTCCTTTCCTAATGGATGCATGAATGCCTCATGCTTCTAATTGTTAATCCCACTATAGAACATCACACATGCTTGCA